GCCCCACTGAGGGTGTCCAGCCCCACAGCCATAACCCCACGTGCCCCCCACACTCACCACGGCGCGCTGGGCCAGGCCCCGGGCTCCGGGGGGCAGCTGGTAACACCTCCGGTCACCGAAGGCGGGTTTGGAGAGCGCGGCGTCCCTGGAGAGGGGCAGGGCAGGGGGCAGGGAGTGAGGACTCCTGTGCCTCCCACCTCCTACAGCTTCAGGAACAGGAGGCCAGACGAGGTCAAGTGTCTGAGCCACTGAGTCAGGAAAATGGGGCACTCCTGAGCCACCTCAGCACCCCAGGATGGCTCTGGGAGGTCCTACAGGCCCAGGCTGGCCCTGAGAGCTGTTTCAACAGCCACTGCCCTCCCCATGCTCAGAGTCTGGGTAAAATCATGTCAGACTCTTTTCCAAGGCAGGTTCCTCAGGGATACCCTGCCAGGGTCAGGCTGTTCTTGAGACAAGGTCCAACAGCTGACTAAGCTGAAGCTTGTCCCTGAAGCCACCCTTTGGGACAAGACTGGCTCCTGTGACTCCCTCCCTGTTCCTGGACATTGCAGGCAGCTCCCTCTCTGCCTGCCTTGCCAGCAGCACTGAGAAGGAGCAGGTGAAGAGGTAAGGGATGGAAGATCACCTGGGCAAGGTACAATCATCTCCTTTTTGCACGGAGGAGTAGGAGGAAGGTGCTGCAAAGTGACCAGTGTGGCCCCCCCTGAAGCCCAGGCTCTGGCCGAGCCCCCTTCCCAAATAACTATCTGGGAACACACTCCCAGCCATCCTGGCACCGGCTGGGCACACCTGGCTGAGGGACAGACCCACCTGAAGGGTCCATAGAAGCAGGAAGCGAACTTGGCACTGTAGCTCATCACGGAGACCTGTGGAGCAGAGCAGGGCCAGGAGGGCCGGGAGCTTGGAGCCACAGCCACAGAGATTCCCTCCCATGGCTGTTTTATCCTCCCCCTCCCAGAGGCCTGGCTCCTGCTGTTCCCACAGACATTCCTGTAGTGCTGCAGCTCCCCATGGCTGTGGCTCCTGCCCCTGGCACACACAGGTGCCCAGCTCACCTTGTTGCCCAGGTCGTTGGAGATCAGCGCCTGCTTTATGGCCCCGATGCGCCCGTCCATCATGTCCGAGGGGGCCACGATGTGGCAGCCTGCAGGG